AGACCCAGCAGAGCCGCCGCCACCGCCGACTCGGAGCCGCAGACTCCTCACTTGCCGGCGTGGCGGCCAGGTCTCTCCACAGTCGAGTCCACCCAGCGCCTTGAGGACACCCCCACGCACACTCACCATTTTCCGACGGCTCCCAGGGTCCGACACCGTTTGAAACACTGTGGTGAGGCTGTGGGGCCGGGAGCACACCCACGACAGGAGAACCCACGCTGCTTGCAGACGTGGCCCCACCCACCTTCCCTGATTGGACAGTTCTACCTTCCTTATTCCTGAGTGACAAGGTAGGGGGGCGGGCGGTGCAGGTCAACGCTCGGCAGAACCAGCTTTGGTTGGTGGGCGGGGCCTGTCCCTTCCAAAACCGTTTATACTCTTTTTGTTTTAATCCTATTTTCCCATGATTTTTAGAGAGAGGAAAAGACAGAGAAACTTCGATGTGAGAAAAACACATCGACTGGTGGCCTCCTGCACGAGCCCTGACCAGGGACCAGGTCGGGGAGGAGCCTGCAACCAAGCTATATGCCTCCGACCGGAGTTCGACCGGGGACCCTTGGGTCTGCAGGCCGGCGCTCTATCCACCGAGCCAAACCGGCCAGGGCCGTTTATACTTTTAACACCACTTTGTCCTGGTTCTACAGGGGCCCTGGCGTCTCCCTGCCCCGCTTTCTGGATGTGGGGAGACAGGTGTGCGAAGGGAATTCCAGACCCAGTTTCCAGATGGAGCTTGTTTACAAACCCATTTAACGTAACGTAAATAGTCTGGCTCCATTTGATCTTTGAATGTTGGCAGGTTGGGACCTCCATCCATCCTTCCTCCACCTCCATACCTGTGGCGGTTTAGGGTCCCGGGACCTCCCAAGGGGCCGGTTCTGATGGCAGCGTCACCTAGGGGCAGGAATTCTTCCCGACCAACCATTAGCTGTACATTTTACACTCAAAGGAAATGTTCCTTAGTTTTCGACTGTGTCCTTAGAAATGTTGAAATATAAAAGGGCCATAATATCCCTAAAGCAAATGAATTCCTATTTTCACCAATATAACAAAAAGAAAGATTTGGAAACGTGGGATGTACCTGAAAACTCAATATACTTAACACATTGGTTCAAATATCTAATTTATTTATTTGAATAGCTTAATATACATACACCTACCAAGGAATGCATACCTTTAATGTATATAATTCAACGGGGCTGTTTTTAGTATATTCACAGATAATGTGCAATCATCACAATTTTTTTTAACATTTTTGTTATCTTAAAAAGAAGGGACTAGCCCTGGCTGGTGTTCTCAGTGGTTAGAGCATCAGCCAGGACTCTAAAGGGTCTTGGGTTCGATTCCTGATCAAGGAGCAGGTTCCTGGTTTGCAGGTTCTATCCCGGGCAGGTCAAGGTTGGGGCAGGCCTGGGAGGCAACCAATTCATGTGATGTTTTCTTTTCTTTTTTTTAAATATATTTTCATTGGCCCTAACCGGTTTGGCTCAGTGGATTGAGCGTTGGCCTGTGGACCGAAAGGTCCCAGGTTCGATTCCGGTCAAGGGCATGTACCGAAAAGTACCATCTCGGATATCTTCCCTCATGTTCTATGATTTGCCAACCTGCGTCAGGAGCTGTTTTCCTTCTGGTCCAATAAGAAAAGAAAATGCTACATTTTGTATTAGAGGAAACAGTTCCTCCTGATGACAAAAAGGGTGCTATCAGAGAGCAGTCAGGGAACAATGACCTCCTGGAGGCCTGGGACCAGGTCAAGAAAATGCCTGCCTATGTTTTTTTTAAATATATATTTTCATTGACTTCAGAGAGGAAGGGAGAGGGAGAGAGAGAAACATCGACGATGAGAATCATTGATCAGCTGCCTCCTGCACATCCCCCACTGGGGATCGAACCCGCAACCTGGGCATGCGCCCTTGACCGGAATGAAACCCGGGACCCCCCAGTCCATAGGTTGACACTCTGTCCACTGAGTCAAACCAGCCAGGGCTGATGTTTTCTTTTTTGCTCCCTCTTTCTCTCTCCCTCCCTCCCTTCACTCTAGAAATCAGTGGAAAGAATATCCTCAGGTGAGGGTTAACACACAAAAAAAGGGGGCGCTGTGCCCTTTATCAATTCTCCATCTTTCCATTTTCCACCTCCAAGCTGGGGTCTTAGGCAACCTCTAATCTTTCTGTCTTTATAGATTTTCCTGTTCTTAATTTGTCTTTGTAAATGACTTTAGTAATTTAGCATATTTTTTCAAGGAACATCCATGAAGTAGCATGTAGAAGTATGAATACTTCATTTCTTTTTTGTGGCCAAATGTCATTCCATTCTATGAACAATGCACATTGTGTTTATTCCTTTATTAATGGGCATTTAGTTTGTTTCGAGCCTTTGGTTATTCTGTATAATAAATGTTGCAATAAACCTACATGTACAAGTTTTTGTTTGGATATATATTTTCATTTTGGGGGGCATATACCTAAGGCGTGAATTGCTTGAATATATGGTAATTCTATGTTTTCTTTAAAAAAAAAAATAT